AGAGAGGAGAGAGAGAGAGAGGAGAGAGAGAGAGAGAGAGAGAGAGAGAGAGAGAGGAGAGAGAGAGAGAGAGAGAGAGAGAGAGAGGAGAGAGAGAGAGAGGGAGAGAGAGGAGAGAGAGAGAGAGAGAGAGAGAGAGAGAGAGAGAGAGAGAGAGAGAGGAGAGAGAGAGAGAGAGGAGAGAGAGAGAGAGGCGAAAGAGAAAGAGAGAGACAGAGACAGAGGCAGAGAGAGATAGGGAGAGAGGGAGAGGGGAGAGAAGAGGGAGAAAGAGGGAGAGAGAGAGGGAAAGAAGAGAGAGAGAGTTAGATAGATGGACAGATAAATAGATAGATAGATAGATAGATAGACCGATTGATTGGTCAGAGTGTTGCAAAAAATACTCCCCAAACCATGTTCATGGCCTCTCAGGAAGGTGGCTTGCAACTATAGTGCATTGATGATCTAGATAAGGGTGTCTTAACGTTACAAAGAAAGTTTTGCATAGTGTCATTATTTGTTCATCGTCGCAGCAGGCACAAAGAGGTAGCGTGGTAGCTCAAAAAGATCACGATCGCGGGAAGGATGAGTGCGTCAACTCACGCTTACGTCATATGAAAGAAAGAAAAAAAACGTTCTGCATTTTCAATTCACATACATAACGCAGACTTCGTAGCAGACTTCAGCCGCAGACTTCGTAGGAGCACCAATGGCCACGTCCGTGACCTGGCGCGGACATTCCGACAACCCGACACATGGTACTTCAGTGGCCTGAGGCGACATTCGGGGCGTGCATCACCAGTGCCTCGGACGAGAGTGAGGAATTTGTGTAGCGATATGCTGCACCTCAACGCATTAACGCTGAGCAGGTGCCACCCCAGTCGCGTCAATTGATGCACGCCTGCTCTTGTGATGAAGGCAATGGGCTGCGCGTGCTTGTATCTGTGTTTACACGGCGATGGCTTACATGCGATTCACACCAAAACAGTTGGCCATTACAACCAGGCGTATGTAACAGTCCAACCACGGATCCCCGAGAGCGCGTCCAGTTCACAAAGAGTGGTTGGCTATAGGGTGCAGGAAATCAGATCATGAGATCTTTTGTGTGGCTCCGGGACATGTATAGTTATAACGGCTATGTTTGTAGCGGTATCATGCAACAAGGAAGTGAGCTTGCAATGGTTATGCAGTTACCATCAATATGCACAAAACCCAGTCCCCACGTCAAACAGCTCAAGATTGATTAAATTACTCCGCAAGTAACACACACGAAGTCAATACCATAATAACAGCCCCAAAACCCAGGTTCGCAAGACCAGCTCCGTATCTACTTTTTGTTCACAAACACCTGAAAACACAATGTCCTCTGGCTCAGTCGCAAACCTTGGACAGGTTTTGCTATGAAACCTTACTGAATGATAGAAGTGAGACGTGAGTATAAAGGATAGAATGGGTGGTCGGACTTTCCCCATCCAACGTTGTGCTGGTGTCTAGGCGGTGTACTTGCTAACACGACAAACGAGGGTCTATAGCCAGAACCGCCCTTTGACTTTTTATAGAAAACCGCTCAGTTGCAATTTTGTAAAGGGGTACTTACTAACGCAACAAAAGAAGACGATAGCCAGAACCATTCTTTGATTCTTTTATAGAAAATCGTGCAACCACACTTCCGTAAACAAGTTCTAGCGGCTATAACTATTGGCCTGGACATTACGTAGCTTCCACGATGGTTTGCAGCGCCACGAGGTTTATGAAATGTGGACTCTGATAGTGAAGACCTCACGAATTGAGCTTAGTATTCGATTTCAAAAAATAAAAGGTAAGGATGTCAATCACCCGATACAAGTTTGCTAAGGTTTTCTATGCATTTCTTGTAGCCTGTTTGTTTCTTTTTAGATTTCACCCTTTCCGCTAGCTTCTGTTCAATCTTCGGATAAAACTATCGTTATTATATAAAATGATATATATCATTATCATATAAATGTACATTGTCATTATATAGATATGTTGTTACTATATGCATATTGTTGTCATATAACATATGCTATTATTATTATTATATCAAACCCGATGTTTTTGGTAGCCAATCACTGGGCAGCATAGTGGGCTCAGCTAAGCATTTTGACATGTGTACGCATGTGAGTACGCATGTGTGTGCACTGACAAAAGAAATGTTCCGGTATAACAAACGGTCAGTCCTAGTAATGCGTCAGGCTGGAAGAGTTTCGCTGCTTCAAATGGTGGCCGCACACCTGTATGTACGCACGCACACTTACACAAGCGTGCAAATACGCATGCAGACACGCATGTGCGTCCTCGCCCGCATTCTAGACCTAAAGAAGTTTTACGTAAGCTCTTTTTAAAGCGCGATATGTCCACTGTTCATAGTGGAAATGCCTCCCGCATTGAATTAAGTAAAAACAGGATTATACACATTTTATTATTTGTTATTTTGTGTTCGCATGCGTGGGAGTGCAAGATCTCACAGCTAGCAATCAGGCCGAGTGAACAGCCCGAATCATTTCGCACCTTTTGTTTATGGATTACTGATGTTGACCGCATGTAACGTGTCTTCCATAAAAACTGTGAATATTTGATTGCTTTTCGACGTAAAATGCTGGTGACATGAGTGTGTTTTGCGTAAAACAAATGCCTGTCAAATAACAGTGCATGTCACCTTTTGGGTGGAGATTGAGTTGTGTTCATCGGCAGCTAGATTACGTGTGCCCGAAAACAAATGTCATGCCGGGCTCCTCAAAATTTCTGGCAGCAGCCCAATTTTTGCATTTAAATAGTGCTTTGCACGAAACTCTTCCAGTAGGCTCTCTCCCAATCACCACAAAAGCAATCTTGCTCAACAGGAAAGGCTTTTGATTTTGTCTCACCGCGACCAAAATTTTTGCCCGGTATGCTTCGTGAGCGTCTTGATTTTGCTACCGTAGATGCGCGGTCTGTTATGTCTTATAGTGGCACAAGAAACATAAAGTCGTTGTGATAATAATTCAGCTGGCCGGAATCATCAAAACATGACCTAATGCCCGTTACATGATGTCCATACTGTCAGCAGCGTCATCGCCCGGAGATGCATGGCGGAGAACTGATTCGGCATTTTAAACATCTGCTCTTTAAATGCTTTCGGGCAGTTGCAGGTAAGGCAAATGCAGTGCCCTATATGGCTAAGTCCCGTCTACAGCCTTGGCCGGAATCAAAGCGATTTAACTATCTTATGCTTTGAGTGACCTAGATGCATCTTCTAGCGTCCTGTACATTCATAACTAATTTTATGGATTCGATGCAGAATTTTGTGATGGCTTCCAAGGGAGACACTCTCAATAGTGCCACCGTGGAATGACACTAATCTTCCTGCGTGCAATTGCGTTCTACGATTTATTCGCACTTCATGTGGCAATGCGATCCATACTCGCCGGCCGCTCATTCCTAATCAGCTGTATCCCACCGCCACCCACCAGCACATACTTTTCCGGCACTTTGGCTCCGAATTATAGAATATGTTATGAAATATCGACAGCCAGACCTACTTTTTTGTGTTAATAATTGCGAAATTGAAGTGGATGGAGCTTATCATGACCAACAAGAACACAAGCGATAGTATTGCAGAGTAGGGGTGTAGCTGCCTATTCAGTTGGGGGCTGAAGTCCCATCGCCCCTCCACCCCTCCGCCAACTTTGGGATGAAAGTGGGTCAAATCTGGAGAGAAATTTGTTTGATTAGGACATTTTGTGTACAGGCCGGGTCATTTTTCATTGTTGAGTCCCTCTCCCACCCACGAACTCATTTTGAGAAACTATGCCCCTGTTGTGTGGAATTTCTTGAAGTATTCAACCGCCCTTTCGTCAACGTCTTACCTACTGCGGTATCCATAATTTTTCGTTATATAATATTCCGTAATCAACTGCCGCAATTTTCCCGAAACTGCTCGCAACCCAAACGGTTACCCACACTCGGTGGTTAACCCAGCCAGTCAACTCCCGTACCCTCCCCCATAATGAAGCCCTGCACCTCATACGCATACCACGATCTGGTATTCTCAAGACAAGCTTGACAGCTTCCTGGAAGCCGAGCAGTATGTGCTTCTACAGCTCTATATTAGCCGTTGCCAGATATTGCAGTGGGTGTCCGCCGTTCGGTCGTCCAGGGACTGTGGGCTTTGACAGCAGCTTATGCACGAGCTATTCGTTTTACGGGACCGAACGTCAGCCAGAACAAATCACTTGCACGTGCATAAGGCGTGAGCCGTACGTGCACGGTCGATTGAGGGAAGCAATGCGTCACAGAAAGCAATCAAAAGTTAGCCCAATTCTACCGCGACGTGCCGCGGTCCTGCCGGTGCCGGTACCGCGGTCCGCGGTCCTGCCGGTGGCCGGTACCGCGGTCCGCGGGTCCTGCCGGTGCCGGTGCCGCGGTCCGCGGTCCTGCCGGTGCCGGTACCGCGGTCCGCGGTCCTGCCGGGTGCCGGTGCCGCGGTCCTGCCCGGTTGCCGGTGCCGCGATCCTGCCGGTGCCGGTACCGCGGTCCGCGGTCCCTGCCGGTGCGGTGCCGCGGTCCGCGGTCCTGCCGGTGCCGGTGCCGCGGTCCGCGGTCACTGCCGGTGCTGGTTGCCAGCGGGTCCGCGTGTCCTGTCCGGTGCCGGTGCCGCGGTCCGCGGTCCTGCCGGTGCCGGTGCCGCGGTCCGCGGTCTGCCGGTGCCGGTTGCCGCGGTCCGCGGTCTGCCGGTGCCGGTTGCCGCGGTCCGCGGTACCTGCCAGGATGCGGTAGGTTCAAGTTAGAAGGGTCAAGTTAGGAACGGCGTGGGTGATCAGAGAGACCCTGGCGAGGCGGCACTGGCAGGGGATGACTGACCAAACAAGTGCCGGTATCTGACGTGACCAGAGACTTAACAGAGCTGTCGATTAGTCGCCGTGGTGCCAACAAAGGCACATGCGTTGATCGTCCCCAAT